TGAAAGTGAATTTTCTGCAGTGTTTCACACAGTTACAGGGTAGTATGTGTTTAATAGGTTTCCTGCACTGGAAACTTACATTATTTGATTGTTAGTGGAAAGCTATGGAAAGATAAGTATGTTGTGTGCTTATGGTATGTTGAGCGGTTCTAGCCACTGAAACATGTTGGGTGGGGGAGGTAGGGAAATTTTTTTTTATTTTATGGATTATGACTGTCTTAGGCCAGATTTGTTGCTTGTTCCTAATTCTTCTTGAAAAGGTGATGGTAAACTGTCTTTTGAACTAATGCAGTTTATCTTGTCTATGTATATATACCCAGAGTGTTGTTAGAAAATAAGTTTCAGGGTTTTGACTTGGTGGCAGTAAAGGACCATCAATATAGTATCAAACTGGGTTGCGTGTGGCTTGGTGATGTTTTCTTGCATCTTGAGCCATTGTCATTCTAGGATGTACGATTACAGGTTTACAGGTGCTGTGGAAGGAACCTTGGTGAGTTCCTGTAGTGCATCTTCTATAAGATGCATACTTTTGCCTCCAGCATTTGTTTGAATCAAGTGCCAGTTATGCATGCTGTTTTGGCCTGGATTGTGTTGAGCTTCTTGGTGTTTTTGGAGTTGTTTAATTGAAGCAAGTAAAGAGCATTGTGTCACACTTCTGACTTGTGCTTTGTAGATGGTGAACAGGATTTGTTGAGGTAGAATTTATTGATTTTAGGAGATTTGTTATTGCAGTTACCTTGTATAAGCAGTCAGCGATTTATTGCAATTTTCGGATAATTTATTGAGAAGCTGCAGTTTAGATCTGGTGCATTAGACATTTAGGCAAAGAAAGGAAATATGTGACCTCTGACAGATGAGAATGCTTTACTGACCCTGGAGCCATTCTGAGAGCAGAGAAGTACAGGCAGCGTACTCCCACGTTTCAGTCGTTCTATGTCCTGTTGTGGTGGTCACTGGTAGCCTTTGGAGTTTCAGTACCAACAGTCTTTGTTCTTTCCGTGGGTTGATCTGGGGCATCTCTTGGTCTTCTGCCAAATTGATGGCATGGTTCATGTCCTTGAATTATCTTGCCTTTTCCTCCCCACTGTCCCTGTTGATATACCTTATTTTGGGGACTGGCCATCAATGTTACATCAATTGGTGTCTAAACCCTGTTGGCCCATGGACATGAAACATCTCCCTCCAGTGTCAGATGACAGTTCTTCTTTTGCCCAACTCTACCTGAAGGAGAGTTTTCATTCTTTCTAAGATCAAAACCTTAACTTTGATACACTGTATTAATAAGAGTAGGGTGGCACTAATATATCTTTGATTCGAGTCAGAACTTTGATTCTTCTGGTATCATCTCTGTTTTCATATCAAGATTTATTCATGTTTGCAGAAGGCTAGTAATGAATGTGACAGTCAGATGAGGTGTCATGCTACACAGGAAGTATTGAATATGGAACGCTGAGTTAACACAGATTGAAGAGGACCCCTAAATGTCAACAGAAAATTTAATCTGCTCTTTTAGTGTTATTTGTACAGCTGTTCTGGTCAATGATAACCTCTTGGAATGCTAATAGTTAAGATGGTTCATGCTGTTTGGGATTTTATTATTCCAGGTGTGGCTTCATCACTGCCCTCTATACTTGTAGTAGACATCCTTGTTCCTGTACTCAAATCTTCTTGCTGGGAAGGTCATCAAATGGTTTGCCTTCTTTACTACCCGCTGCTCCTGCACATACACTTTCAGTGACTGGTGCACAAGGACACTCGGGTCTTTTTGGGCATTTCACCTTTTCAATTTGCAGGCATTCAAATATTAATCTGCATTGTACTCTTTGCAACCAAAGTGGATAACCCCGTATTTATCCACATTATACTGTATCAGCCATACATTTGGCCTCTCATTCAGCCTGTCCACATCACACTTAATCTCTGCATCCTCCTCAGCTCACGCTTCCACCCAGTTTTTGTATCATCTGCAAATTTTGAGATAACGCATTTAGTTTCCTCATCTAAATTAGTAACATATTTCGTGAATAACTGGGGTCCTTATGCCAACCCTGCAGTACCCAACTAGTCACTACTTGCTATTCAGGAAGAAAGAACATTTATTCCTACTCTTTGTTTCCTGTTTGCTCACCAATTTTCTAACCATCTCCAATCCCATATGCTTTAATTTTACACGCTAATTTTCTTATGTGGGACTTTATTGAAAGCCTTCTGAAAATCCAAGTAAACCACATCTACTTGTTGTCTGGATCAACTCTACTAGTTACATCCTTTAAGAATTCCAGTAGGTTTGTCAAATATGATTTTCCGTTTGGAAATCCATGCTGATTGTGACTGATTCTCCCACTGTTTTCTAACTGCTCTGCTATAAAATCCTTGGAAATAGACTCTAGTATTTTCCCTATTTCTGATGTCCGACTCACTGGCCTATTGTTCCATTTTCTGTACCTTCCTTTTAAAACATTAGCTACCTTCCAATCTGTAGGAACTGTTCCAGAGTCTCAAGAATCTTGGAAGATGACCACCGTTATTTCTAGGGCCACTTAATTACTCTAAAATGTAGACTGTCAGACCCTGGGGATTTATCAGCCTTCAATCCCATCAATTTCTCCAATACCACTTCTGTACTAATACAAATTTGCCTCAGTTTCCCCATCATTTGTGGTATATGTTATGCGTATCCTCCTTTGCGAAGACAGAGGGAAGAATGAATTTAGTTGGTCACCGTACTTTTATTCCCCATTATAAATCCCCCTGTTTCTGACTGTAAGGGATCTTCATTAATTTTCACCAGCCCTTTTCTATTTACGTATCTACAGAAGATTTTACGGTCAGTTCTTATGTTCCCTGCAAGCTTACTATCATACTCTATTTTCCCCTTCTTAATCATTCCCTTGGCCCTCCTTTGCTGACATTTAAGCTGTTCCCAATGTTCAGGTCTATTGCTTTTATTCTTGTTAATTTGTATGCCTCATTTTTGCATCTAATACTGTCTCTAACTTCTCATTGTTTTCTTTGCACTCTTGCACAGACAGTAATAAACAATTTTTATAGTTCACCCATTTGCTCTTTGAATGTTTGCCATTGCCTGTCCAATGACATTCCTTTCATTAACATTTCCCAATCCATCATAGCCAGCTCATACCATTGTAGTTTTCCTTATTAAGGTACACAAACCTAAGTCTCAAAATCAACTACATCACTCTCCATCTTGATGAAGAATTGTATCATATTATGGTTGTTCAACTCACAGGGTCTCTCATAATTACATTACCAATTATTCCTTTCTCATTGCATAATACCCAGTGTCAGATGGTCTATTTTCCAGTTGGTTCCTCAACTGATCGGATCAAGAAACTATCCCATGTACACGCTATGAATTCCTACTCTATGGTATTGTCACTAATTTATTTGCCAATCTATATGCAGACTAAAGACATCCATGGTTATGGATATTCCTTTATCACATGTATCTCTGATTTCCTGTTTATTGCCATTCCTAACATCACTATAGCTGGTGGTCTATATACCACCTGTACCAATTTTTTTTTGTATTTCTCAATTCTACCCACACGAATTTTACATTGTCTAAGCTAACATCTTTCCTCATTATTGTGTTCCTATCTTCTTTAACCAGTAATACAAATCTTCCTTTCCGTCTGTCCTCCTAAAATACTGAACACCTCGGATGTTCACTTCCTATTCTGTCTATCACCTTGCAGCTATGTCTCCATAATCCCAACTATATCATAACTGGTTCCCATCTACTTGCTTGATTAATTCATCCATTTTATGTTGGACAGTCTGTGCATTCAGGCAAAGCCTTAAGGCTTGTCTTTTTTTTAACATTCCTTGTCCATTCTCACTCATAGTTTGACGTTGCCTTGTTTGAATCTGGCCATTGATTCCTCTGCCTGTCACTTCTCTGATTTCCCTTTCTGTCTTTTGTTCTTGTCCTTGATTTACCCTTCCTGTGAATCCTTGCAAAGGTCCCCATTCTCCTGCCCATTTAGTTCAAACCCTCCACCACTCTAGCAAATACTCCCCTAGGGCATCAGACCCAGTCCAGCCCAGGTGCAGTCTGTCCAGTTTGTACTGGTAATGCCTTCTTGAGAACCAGTACCAATGCTCTAGGAATCTGAAAGCCTCCCCCTTGCACCATTTTTGTAGCCACACTTTTATCCAACGTATCCTGATGTTTATATGCTGACCAGAATGTGGCACTGGTAGTAATTCTGAGATCGCTACCTTTGAGGTCCTGCTTTTTAGCTTGCTTCCTAATTTGCTATGTTCTGCTTTTAGGACCTCATCCTTTTTTATGTATGTCTTTGTACCTTGTGGGTAACGACTGGGCGTTCACCCTCCCCGTCCAGGATGTCGTGTAGCTGCTCTGAGACATCCTTGACCCTGGCACCAGGGAGGCAACAGGCTATCCTGGAGTCTCGTTTGTGGCCGCAGAATCATCTATCTGTTCCCCTAATAATTGAATCCCCTATGACTATTGCATTTCCACACATTTTGCTCCTCCCCTGTGCAACAGAACCAACTATGGTACCACAAATTTGGCTGTTACAATATTCCCCGAGAGGCCATTTCACTCAACAAGGGTCAGAAGGAAGTGGTAATGAGACAAGTGAAGAAACAAAAATTGGATCTAGAGGAATTGCAAATAACAACAGAATTATTACCAGTACATGCTGCCTACAAAAAGGGAGTTATTCTCTTTAAAATTGTTAGACTCTGTGTTAAGATATACTTTCACCCCTCTTAGCCATACATTTAATTAAAAAAGCACCTTGTTAGGGCGATAGATTCTTCTGTGCAGAATTTTTTGCCTTACTCTGTAAAGTTTGACTGCACTTTCCTGTACTTTAAATATTTTTCTGAAATATTTGTGAGGCACACATTCCTCCTAAAATAATAATTGAAAAGTTACAAAGTTAATGTAAAATGTTCTCTTTCTACGATAACATAATAAGTTCCTGAATATGTTTCTCATTTAGTGCATACAGTGGGAAGGTTTTCCGGATAACCTTGACAACACTCATTGTGACTCTTCTGGCCCCATTTTTGGTGGCAACACTGCTGCTGCAGTCACCAATAAATCCTGAGCCTTTCAGGTAGGAGTTCGTTTGTTCTGGATCAAATGTTAATATTGTAGCCAGTAATCTCCAATTGTATATCATCAGCTGGAAGGAATGGTAGAACAGCTGACCAACTCTTGTTATTTAAACTTGGGTATGGAAAATAGCTGTATGGAAATGTTACTGGAAGGCTGCTGGTCAGTTGATCCATTATCAGAATGATGCAGCTACTTCAGGAGTGTAGGATCAAGAAGAAGGAATAAAAGAAAAAGTTGCACCTGGAGGAAAACTCAAGTTGAGTGAGGAAGCAGGATGCATGAAGGAAAATGTTAAATATGAATTTACAGGATATTAGCTTAAAAATAAGTTCCAATTTAGCATATAGAATAGAAAAGAACTGGGAGCTAGAATAGCATAATATTTGGTATTTTGTAAAATAAGGTCAAGGCAAAGATCGGTAGTTATGAACTAGCATAAGCAATAGTTGCAAAAGCAACCTGTTAATATATAGGAATAGATCTGTGGAGTGTAGGTTTATAAGAATATGATTGGGATCATGTGTGTTAAACCTGCTTGCAAAACACATTTGACTTAGGAAATCAGTTGAGACACAGTGAAAGTGATTTTGCTTTTCTTAAAAAAGCATATATTTTGACATGAACAGAGTTAAAACCAATTGTAGATACTTATCTATACATTTATTGATTTTGTTTTATAACACTGTGAATAGCCTAAAACCAACAAAGAAGGCTGCTGTAAGTAGGTGGTTTAGCCGCAACTCCCACAGTATTGAACTACCTTTCAATTTTAATATAGCAAATGGTTGAGGGGCCATTACAATGCCATGCAACATCTATTGACAATGATCAACACTGCTAACTCCAGGCTACAAAAGAAATGCTTCTTGCCTGTAAAAAGTGACCACCAACCTATATTTGTGCACTCTGCAAATAAAGACATCAAGTTATGAAATAAACCAAACCCCCTCAAAATATTCAGAAGATAGTCTAGACCCTAACTTTTTCTTATTTTAAAGGTAAATGTGAGGTGTTGTGTTCTGGATACAATTCGATTGATCAAACTACCAGATTTAAAGCAAAACACACTTTATTCATCCACTGCATTTAAAATACAACAAATGAAAGTAGAATTGGAATAACTTAACACTATTGGAAAACTTAACTGAAAAATAGATTATTTTAATACTAAACAGTGATTGTTTCAATATAGTTACATCCTATAAACACATCCTTGGCAAAAGGCAACTCCTCAACTGGCAGCTAGACAATCAACCCACGCCAACTCAATGAAATTCCAGACTGCTAACTCCAATTTGAACTTCTGGACTCCATCTTAAAAGCCGGGGCATTAATGAACTGATATCTCTTGATAGTTTTGTATTTAAGTAAATAATCTCTTCATCCTTTTTGATTCGGTACATATTTATGTTTAAGTGTGCTTGTGTTGTAAAGTTAGCTGGCATCTTAAGAGTATGTGAAATAAACACTGCTTCAGGTTTACCTTTACCAGTGTTGGTGTGGTTCTTAACAAAGTCAGAACTCGCAAGCAGTGAGCGGAGGGCGTATGCCTCGTTTCTTTCATAAAGGAGAAAAATTAAATTACAGTCTGCTTACGGAGAGGTAGTGAGAATAGGGAGAGATTTTTTTTTAAAGTGCAATCTGTGTGGAATAGTTTTATTAATAGAAAACAGAAAATGCGGGGTGATTAAGTATCATCTAACATTTTAAGTTTAGAATTTTCAATTTTGAGCATTGTTTTGCACTAAACCAGTATAGGAGAATAAACAGCACTGTTTAGAACTTAATAAAATTATAAATGTTAAAATGTCACTGCTTACAGCTACACTCATGCTTGTCAACCAACAGAGGAAGCAATTACTTTGCTTCAAATATGTTTTCACTATATTGAAAATGATTGAATTTGATAGGATAAATAGAGTGAAACAATTACCCCTGGGCAGGATTCCAGATCAAAAAGTTTGAACCTTAAAGTTGATACTAGAACATTCAAAGGTGATGTCTGCAAGCACATCATATTGGAGGATACTAGTAATCTGCGGAAATGTGATGTCACCTGCACTGGAAACCTGAATTTGCGAAGATATGCGGTGTTTCTGGTCATTGCTGTTGCAATTACAAACCATATCAATTTTGGCAATTCTACAAATACGATTCATATTCAGGAGTGTTTGCTAGTTATACATTGCTAATTCCAACCTTTTCTCTATTTTTTAAACAGTTCTTTCAAATAAAGTCGCAATATTTTTAGTTGATTCGTTTATTAAATCAAGTTTGTTTGTCTTTAAAGTATCCCTAACTTCAGGCTTTTAACCTTTATAATAGTTTTTTTTCTCATCTGCAGTTACAAGGAACCTCCTCTTCTAACAGGTCCCTTAGAGCCCAACCTTAAACTGAGGCAAGCTGAACGCTTGTTTGAGGGCGAGTTGATTGGACCAGAATCTATTGCACACCTTGGAGGTATGGATTCACCTTGACTACTTTTATATTAAACATGGTTTTACAGTAGGAAAAAAAACTTGTAAAATTCAAGAAACGAAGTCTCTCCGTTAATATTCTTCTGGTCAGTGCAACCCTATTTACTATAGAATCAGGATTCGGACTGCAGAAGGAAGCCATTCAGTTCTTCATGCTTGGGTCAGTCCTTACAAGAATCATCCAGTTCATCCCACTCTCCTCTTTCCTTGTAGCCGTACAATTTTTATCTTTTTCAAGGATATCCAATTCCTTTTGAGCATTACTTTTGGTTCTGCTTCCACTATTCTTTCAAGCAGTGCAATACACAACATAACCCTGCTAAGACAGTTTATCTCTACCAAAACCACCTTAATAATTTTGAACCCACCTTAATAAATCTCCCTTAAAACTGTTTTTTCCAAGGAGGAGATTCTTATTTCCTAGGCCTCGCCAAATAATTGAAGTCTCTCATTGCTGGTACCATTTCAGTAAATTTCTGTACTGCCTCCAAGTTGTGTTGGACAAGACAGAACTAGGTAATTTAGAGTAGCATATTACACCATAGTAATTGTTTTTGAGAGTGTAATGACCACAGGAATTCCAAATGAAGAACTGTAGGGAAATGTTTTGTGAATAATTTTTGGACATAGTTGATGAAACTCTCTTAAATTTTACACTATACTTACATGTGCCCACTGTAGGTCAGTCTGAGCATTACAGTTTTGGAGTGAGTTTCTAACTATCCGTACACCCACAGTGCTGTTAGGAAGGGGGATTAAGGATTTTGACCTAGCAAAATGAAGGAATAATGATTCAGTTCCAAGTCAGGATGGTGTATGGTTTGGAGGGGAACCTGCAGATAGTGGTGTTCTCATAGAGGCATACAGCATTGAAGCAGGCTCTTTGGCCTACCATGTGCTTGCCAACCAACAAACACCAAAATGCACTAATTCCATTTATTTGCACTTGGTCCATAGCGTACTATGCCATGGTAGTGCTCATCCAGGTGCTGCTTAAATGTTGTGGCAGTATCTGCTTCCGCCATCCCCTCAAGCACCATGTTTCACGTTTCCATCACCCTCTGGGTGGAAAAATTCTTTATCAGGTCTTCTCTAAACCACTTGCTTCTCAACTTATACTTATGCCTTCAGGTCTTAGACATGTCTGCCATGGGAGATTCTCATGAGCTACTTTGCCTATACCTCTTCGTTTTGTAAGCCTCAGTCATGTGGCCCCCCCCCCTCTCTCTCTCTCTCCCCCCGCCCCCGCAAAAGCCTCCTCTGCTCCAAGAAAAACAAATCCAGCCTATCCAGTCTCTCCTTATGACTGAGACTTTTCATCCCAATCAACATCCTAGTGAACCTTCTCTGCACCCTGTCCAGTGCAGTCATGTAATTTTGATGGCACTGGAGAGGGTGCAGAGGAGATTTACTAGGATGTTGACTGGGATGAATATCTACTGCCTTCGTCCTGGCTGGTAGAGGACACAAATTTGTAAAATATTGCCAAAGGGAGCCTTGGTGAATTACTGCAGTGCCTCTTGCAGACGGTACAAACTCATGCCACTGTGTATTGATGGTGGAAGGAGTGCATATTTAATGTGGTGATGGGGAGTCAAGCAAGGAGTGTCAACCCACTGAAGCTACAATGCAGGACTACTTACATGCCAAACAGTGGAAGCTGCATACAGTAGACAGAGCTAACTGATTGCACAAACTATGAATCCAGTGTATGGTGATTGACAATTAAGCAACTTGCTGGAGGAGAAAGTTCTACAAATGTTCCCATCTTCAGTGATGGGAGGGAGCAATACGTCAGTGAAAGGACAAGGCTGACGTATGTGATGCCATTTTTAGTCAGAAGTGTCAACTGTATGATCGATCTCAAGCTCCTCTGAGATTCCCATCATCATAGATGCCGGTTTTCAGCCAACTTAATTCTGCCCATTTGATACCAAAAAGTAGCTGAAAGCATTGGATACTGTAAAGGCTATGAGTGCAAAATATTTTGGCCATACTATTGAAGACTTTTGCTCCAGAAATAGTTGCACAATGTAGAATGTGGAAAATAGCCCAGGAGTGCACTGTTTACAAAAAAGCAGTGAAAATACAATCCTAGCGATAACTGCCCCATTACAGGAAGTCCCTGATTTACAAATGTCTGACTTACAAATATTTAAACTGATGAATGTGGTCCTGTACAGGAGAGTAAGTTTCAAGACCAGACATATGAACATTTCCTGTACTTATGAATGGCTGCTTTACATTGTCCCATATTGTATTCCAACTTCTTACAAATTGATTTGCAAATGGACTCCAGAACACAGCTCATTTGTGGCCTGGGGACTGTCTTTGGTCTATTCTTCATTTTCAGGCAATGATAGCATGGGCAGTTGGCAGTGTTATTAGGTAGGACTTGCTCAGTAATAATCTTAGTTTGGGTTCCACTAGAGCCTTTGACTCCTGACCTCGTTATAGCCTTGGACCAAATGTAGACAAAAGAGTTAAACTCTAGGTGTGGTGTTGGAAGTCAGCCATCTCAGCATCAGTAGTGTCTGTGGCCCAGTCCATCTTCAGTTACTTCATCATCGACCTTCCCTCCATCGTAAGGTCAGAAATGGGGTTGTTCGCTGATTATTACACAATATTCAACTCCTATTGTGTCTCCTCTGACAGTGAAGTAGTCTGTCTCCTTATGCAGCAAGAACAACACAATATCTAGGCTTGGACTGATAAGTGGTAAGTGGCATTTCTGCCACTCAACTGCTAGCCATTTACCATTTCCAATAAGCAAGATTTTAACCATCTCCCTTTGATCAACAGAATTACAATCACTGAATTGAACAGAAGCTGAATACACCAGCTATATAAATTCTGTGGCTACAAGCACATGGCAGAGTCTAGGTATTCTGTGGTGAGTAACTCACTTCCAAAGTCAGTCCACTGTGTACAAGGCACAAGTCAGGCATGTGATGGGATATGCTTCACTTGCCTGGATTTGCACAGGTCCAGTAGCATTCAAGAAGCTCAGCATGATCCAGGACAAAGCAGAACACTTGATTATCACCCTATTCATCATGTTAAACATTAACTCATTGTGAGTACTTCGGCACCATGTGCCAAATCCGTGACCCATACTGCCTGGCAGGATGAGGGCAGCAGTTGCATGGGAACACCACCACCTGCAAGTTCCTCTTCAAGCCATATAGTGCTGTGACATGGAACTTCATTACAGTTATTTCAATGTGGCCTAGTCAAAATCCTGAACGTCCCTCCCTGACAGCGCTGTTGATGTATGTCCAGTACAAGGACTGCAGTAGATCAAGAAGATCACTCAGCATCACATTCTCAAAGGCAGACAGGGGTTGGTACTAAATGCTGGTCAAATGAATGGCACCTGCATCCCCTGAAGAAGTAGAAAAATCGGCCTGACTTTCCTTTATTAATTAATGCCCCGGTACAGATTTTACTATTTTGATTTATGTCCCCTGATAAAAAAAGCAGCAAGTCCCGAGAAGTAGTAATGTAATAATGACCAGGTAATCTCTTTTCATTATGTTAGTGAGGAGTGAATATTGACCAGGATGGTATGGAGAACCCTTCTACCTTTGTGAGAATCATTTGGAATCTTTTATATTCACATAAGGGGCAGACATGGCCATGGTTAAATATCCCATCCAAAAAGCAGCATCTGTTAGTGCAGCACACTCTTAGTACAGTACTGAACTGATTTTGTACAGGAATCTTCTGTCCTCATGACATGGTCACTAACACCTGATCCATGACAGATACAAGGAAGGAGGAGGTCTCTGTGCTCAAGCACTGTATCTTAATACTTTCCAACTTTATTAGCAGCGTTTCTTTTAATTCCTGATATAACAAACACAGTTATGATAACCCTTTACATGACATTAATTATTAATGTTGGTTTAGGGTCAGTTTCGTGATTGTCTTAACAGGAGCTAAAATAGCATTAACAATATTCGTTTTGAGTTGAATCTTTTTAGCTGATGTTGAGGAAAGGAATATTCATTCCACTCAGATCAGTTGGCAGCACTCTTGCCTCTGAGGCAAAAGACTCCAATCCCACTCTAAGGACTTGAGCACAAAATCCAAGCTGACATTTCAGTGCAGTCCTGATCAGATACAGTCTATTCAAAGAAGAGTAAGAGATGTTTCCTAGTAGTCTTGGGCTTGATCTGTTATTCATCTCTCGACCATTGTTAGAAAAAGTACATTGCCATGACACTATTGCATTGTTTATTGCTATATCTGTGCATAAATTAGCGACTGTCTTTTCCTACAACGGTGACTTTTCATTATTGTCAACAAAGAATGTTAGGACGTCTTGAGGTCGTGAATCTCAAATCCAAGTCTTTCTTTTTACTTCTGATTAAACTTGCAGCTGAGGATATGAGTGACCGGATCTCTAGTTTTGCTTTTTTCTAGGAAGTTGCTGAGTGAAGCTTGTTTGTAACTGAATTCTATATGTGGGATCTCTGCAGAGGTGATATTCACTGGTACGGCTGATGGACAGATTCTGAAAATAAGTGATGGACAAATACATACCCTAGCAAGGATAGGCAAACTTCCTTGTGGTAAGTCACGGGCAAAATTGACTGTTTTCCTTGATACGGTTTAGGAGTAGTTTTTACCTCAAGCTGTACTTAGTTAAGTAGTCCTGCAGTAATAGTCACTTTTGCAAATGGCTTTATTTTCTGTTCTCTTTAGCTTTAATTTCTGTGTTAAATTTAGCAACAAACTTGCTACTTTGTGAAAGTTGGCTTGATGGTGAGAATAAAATCAATAAAAGTTCATGTCTAAAATTTAAAAAAAAAACCTTCATGCTAATCCTGTTTTCACTTTGGCTGCACTGCAACAATACGTTTTGCAGGGCAGGGGTTTAGCAGATTGAGCCTTTTCTCATGGTGGTTTAGAGGAACAGGAGCTCATCTTATTAAAACATAGGATCCTAAAGGGACTTGACAGGGTAAATGCAGGAAGGATCTTTCTTTTTGTGGACGAGTATGAACTAGGGACCACAGTTTAAAGCTAAGGAGTCCAATTAAGACAGATTAGGAGAAATCTCTACTTTGAGGACCGTTGTCTAGAATTCTCTTCTCCAGAATGCTGTGAATGCTTGGCCATTGAATAGATTCAAGCCTGAGTAAGTTGGATTTTTGAATGACAAGGGAGTTGAGGGATTTGGGACTGGACAGGATTTGAAGCCATAATCAAATCAGCTGTGATCTTATCAAATGGGGTTTAAGGCTTGAAGGGCTGTGTGGTCTATTCCTTCTCCTAATTCTTGTGTTTTTGTGAGACTATTTCATTCCTTTTGTGTCTTGCTTTATCATCTTGCTGTCTATTTTTTTGTATTTTTTTCTCCCATGATATTCTTCCAACTGTACTGAAACTTTATTTTGCATCCAGGAACAAGAGAAGATGAACCAACTTGTGGAAGACCTTTGGGAATCCGCGTAGGCCCTAATGGGACTCTGTTTGTGGCTGATGCTTACTATGGGCTATTTGAAGTTAATCCAGTCACAGGTAGAGTATTTTAGTTACTTTGAGGATTATTGATCACTAAGGGTGTGTAAGATTTATAATGTTTCTGGAGTTCATTTCTTTGTAATGAGAGTGAATGCGCTGTCCTCCCTCTCCAGCTGCACAAGTTGATATCCAGGAGAATGAAATGAGCTATCTGTTCATAGACCACAGACTGTACAACTTTTATGTCATCCCCAGTTTCCATCGTACTACAGATTATTGCTTGGCTGGATGGGAAAGTGAAGAGGATGTGGAGATGTTTCAGTGGGATCTGAAGAACCTGAGTTAATGGGCAAATGCAAGGCAAATACATCGCAATGTGGATAAATGTGAGGTTATCCATTTCAGCAGCAAAAACAGGAAGGCAGATTATTATCTGGCTATAAATTGAGAGAGAAGAATGTACAATGAGACCGCGTGTCCTCGTACACCAGTTACTAAATGTAAGCATGCAGGTTCTGCTGGCGGTCAAGAAGGCAAATGGTATGTTGGGCTTCATAATGAGATTATTTGAATAGAGAAGCAGGGATGTCTTGCTGCAATTATGCAGGGCCTTGGTGACACCACACCTGGAATATTGTATGCAGTTTTGGTGTCCTTATCTGAGGAAAATATTCTTGCTATTAGTGGGAGTGCAGCAAATGTTTACCAGACTGATCTCTGAGATAGCAGGGCTGGCATATAAGGTGAGGTTTTTAATCGGTTAACATTAAGTTTGTTGGAGTTCAGAAGATTGAGAAACCTAAAACAATCTAGCAGGTTGGATGCACGAGGAAAGTTCCCAATGATGGTGGAGTCCATAACTCGGGCCACAGTCTAAGATATGGGGTAAACCAGTTAGGACTCAGATTAGGAGAAATTCCTTCACCCACCGTGTGGTGGAATTTGCTACCACAGAAAGCAGGCGAGGTCAAAACATTGAATGATTTGAGGAAGGAGCTGGCTAAAGCACTTGGGGCCAAAGAGATTAAAGGATATGGGAGGAAAGTGGGAATAGTCTGTTGAGTTGAATGATCAGCCGTGATCATAGTAAAAGTTGGAGCGTGCTCAAAGAGCCAAATGCCCTACTCTTGCTCATATTTTCTGTGTTTCTATATTGGCATGTTGAGAGTTGAAATTGGAATCTCAGCAGAATAGGGTATTTTGAATTGGCAACAGTCCACCTTGTGCTTTTCTAATATTTGAATCTCAGTCAAGAGAGGGAGGCCGCATAATGGTAATATCACTGGATCATAATCCAGAACCCCAGTCTCATGTTCTGAGGACATGGATTTGAATCGCACTGTGGCAGACAGTAAAATTTGAATTTAATCTAAAAAAGTCGGAAAAGAAAATGATGGTGATCATGTAACCTTTGTCAATTGTTGTAAAAACCTATTTGGTCCACTAACCCTTAGGGAAGCAAATGTGCCATCCTTATCTTGTCTGATTTGTATGTGACTCAAGACTCACATCAAGGTAGCTGACTCCTAACTGTGCTCTGTGCAACTAGGGATGGGCAATAAATGCTCACCTGGACAGGCATCCACATCCCATGAACAGATTTTAAAAAAGTAATCTTGTGTAGTCTTCACGTTTAAGTGTGGGAGTGTAGTATCACCACGATTTGCTTGTTCGGTTATGTTGCGTTCCTGAAACGTGTTAGTATTCAGAGCTGGTGTCATGGAGAATCTTGACCAAAATCTTGAATTGTTACAACCTAGAATGGCCCAAATATTTTGGAGCTGATTACATACGTTATATTTGTCAATATTGCATTTTGGGAAATGCCAAAGCCCAGTATTCATACAGTATTGTCCCACAAACAACAATGACAAATAACTAGTATGCTTCGTTAGTTGACGTCTAAATATAGGCCAGGGTGTGGAAGAAAATGTTTCCTTGTTTTGAAAATTGAGTTTGAAAATGTTTTACCTGCTTGAGAGAGCAGACAGGACTTCAGTACTATATAAAAAATGCGAAGTCTTCAACAGTGCAGTATTCCTTTAGACTGCATGGGAATGACATCCAAGCTTTTGTGCTGAAGTTTCTGGAGTGGGACTTGAACCTGTGATGTTGTGGTGCAAGTGTAAGCAACTGAGTTTCATTCTGAAGCAGTGCCACTTAGGAGGATCACTGTCAGCGTGCTTTATGATGCAACTAGCTGGATATTCTGTGCTTGCACAGCAGCCTAGTCTAATTCTAATTACCCACTGTTCTGTCTTCTCCTTTGAAGAAGCACAGAACGAGCGATTTAACAATCTGCCACTAATGTACGATGTTTAAAGGGGGTGAGAGAAGTGGCAGTCAGTAGCCCCTTGGCAAATAGGAGAAAAGGGATGGAAAAGTAGGTAACAGCAAAAATAAACCCCTGAAAACTTTCACCTACTTTAATAGCATGTGTAATTTGTATAAGCTCCTTTTGAACTGACTTCTGCTTTCATCATGAAATCAAGTAACAGTGAGGATGATTTTATACAGGAATCAAAAGGAATCAGTGCTTGTGAGACTTCAATGAAGGAAAACGGTACGCTTGTTATTACTATTTAATTGCTGTCTTTTTAGCATAATTTAGCAGAATCGGGGGTGGATGAGAGACATCACAGTAGAATTCTGGGAGACATTGCCACAGTCATCACGACTGTACAGCAGGTCAGAGAGAACCTGGTGTTAAAGTGTGGCACATAATGCAGAGTTCCCTTCTGGCCATTCCCCTCAATACTGTTGGGGCGTGGGGATGACTTTTTAGGGGCTAGCAGCAGCAATCAGGTCAGTGGTAATATGACTGGCTCTAAGGCTCAGAAGTAAAGGGTGCAGTCAGACAGAGCGATACTGATAGGAGACTCGGTTGTGAGGGGGAGAGACAGGAGATTCTGTAGCCGCAGAAGATACGCTAGGATAGTGTGTTGTCTTCCAGGTGCCAGGGTCAAGGATGTCTCTGAGTGGTTGCAGAACATTCTGAAGGGGGAGGGTGAACAGCCAGAGGTCATTGTGCACAATGCTATAAATGACATTGGTAGACAAAGGGATGGGACAAAAACAATGTTGCTAGAAAAGCTCAGCGGGTCTGGCAGCATCTGTGAAGGAAAAAACCGAGTTAACGTTTCGGGTCCAGTGACCCTTCCTCAGAAGGGATGGGTCCTGCGAAATAAGTATTGGGAGTTAGGTAAGAAGGTAAAAGGCAGGACCTCAAGGGTCATGATTTCTAGATTACTCCCAGTGCCACATGCCAGTGAGGATAGAAGTAGAAAGATAGGCCAGATGAATGCGTGTCTGAGAAGCTGGTTTTCAGTTTTTGGATCATTGGGATCTCTTCTGGGGTAGAGGCGACCTGTACAAGAGGGACAGGTTGCACTTGAATTGGAGAGAGTCCAATATCCTCGTGAGGAGATTTGCTAGTGTTACCTGGGAGGGTTTAAACTACTTTGGCAGGGGGGTGGGACTCTGAATAAGAGAGGGGCTATTGAGGATTCAGGGGAAAGTACATTGTGGTTGGTTGGCTCGTTGAGCTGGTTCATTGTTCCGCAGACGTTTCATTACCCTGCAGGTAACATCATCAGTGCAGCCTCCGATGAAGCGCTGTTGTGTTTTCCCGCCTGTTATTTAAACTCTGGTGTCCGTTGAGCTGGATTACCTGGTTCTCCACTAAGAAAGCCATCAATGAACACATTGAGCTCGACCCCATATATACTGCATTGCAAAGGAAAACCAGAAGGGAGGTAATGCAGCTCAACAGACGCCAGAGTTTAAATAACAGGCGGGAAAACACAACAGCACTTCATCGGAGGCTGCACTGATGATGTTACCCTGCAGGGTAATGAAATGTCTGTGGAATAACGAACCAGCTTGGCAAGCCAACCAGCCACAATGTCCACAACCCGAGCTACAAATCTACTCTAAAACCTTAGAAAATACATTAGCCATCAAGAGCAAGTTTACTATTCAGGATAGCCAGGGGGACAGTAGAAGGAGGGCAAAGATTTCTGGTTTAAAGTGCATTTATTTCAACGCACAAGGCCTGACTGGTAAGGCAGATGAGCTCAGAGCATGAATTGGCTCTGGGGACTGTGATATTATAACCATTACAGAAACATGGCTCAGAGAAGGGCAGGACTGGCAGCTCAACATTCTGGGATACAGAAGGTACAGGCGTGACAGAAGTGCAAGTCAGTGAGGAGGGGGACTTCCCCTTCTGGTAAGGGAGTGCATAACAACAGTGCTTGGAGAGGATATTCTTAAGGGGTCTTCAAATGAGGCCATATGGTTAGAACTTAGAAACAAGAAGGGGATGGTCACTCTGTTGGAACTGTATTATAGACCCCAAATAGCCAGCGGGTACTAGAGGAGCAGATGTGTACAGAGATTGCAGATACCTGTAGGAATAATCGAGTAGTATTGGTTGGAGATTTTAATTTCCCCCATATTGACTGGGCCACCCAGGGTGTGAAAGGCCTGGACAGGGTGGAATTTGTCAAATGTGTCCAAGAAAGTTTCCTAAATCAATATGTAGAGGGCCCTACTCGGGAGGGTGTAACACAGGACCTCCTCTTCGTAAATGAGGTTAGTCAAGCGACTGAAGTGTCAGTCGGAGAACACTTTGGGTCCAGTGACCATAATTCTTTCAGTTTTAACATAGTTATGGAAAAAGATAGGACAGGTCCACAGGTTAAGGTGCTAAACTGGAGCAGGGCCAATTTTGGGGCGTTAGGCAGGATCTAGTCTGTTTGAAGGAAAAGGAATGACTGGCAAATGGGAGGCTTTTAAAAGTGTATGTCCCTGTTAGGGTGAAGGGAAAAGCTGGCAGGTTTAGAGATCCCTGGCTGATGAGGGATATTGAGGCTCTGGTCAGGAAAAAGAACATTGGGTTTAAGCTATCGGGCTCAAGTGAATCCCTAGATGACTATAAAATGTGTAGGAGCATGCTTGAGGGAAATCAGAAGAGCAAAAAGAAGGTATAAGATTGATCTGCCAGATAAGATTAGAGATAATCCAAAGAGGTTCTGTAGCTATATTAGGAGTAA